CCCCACAATAAGGTACCCCTTGTTTTCGGAAACTCCCATATAAACCTTGGACTCTTGTGGAGGTCTGGTGTTGAGGTTTCGGGATCCTGGGCAAAGCAGCATATCATAGCATGCTTTGTGCTAAGGAGCACCAAGGCTACCAGGGTGTACCGGGAAACTGGAACCACTAATAAACCCTAAACCCTAAACCCTAAACCCTTTTTTCAGCATGGACTTGGATGTGAACCACAAACCCTAAACCCTAAAGACTAACGTGTGCAACCTGACCGGTCATCTTGGTCATCTTGCCCGCCTTGCCGCAACCCTGAAGGGTGAACAAGTGTCAAGCGGGGCAAGTGGGGCAAGATTACCAAGAGCACCAAGATCACTGGTAATCTTGACCCCCCACAAAGATTACAAGATGACCCAAAATGACAACTGTTACCAAGAGAGCATCTTACGCAAGATGACCAGTCACATTAGTGGTTCCAGTTTCCTTATTTCTACTAGTTCTTCAACGCAAAACGGCCTGTAACCTAAAACCCTAAATCCCTACTTACTTACTTCGCCAATAAGCCAGGGAAATAAAAGGTTAAACTTTTTGATTCCTACTAAATTATAAGAGCCCACAAAGTTTAAAGGTTGGGTATTGGGGAACTAAGCCTAAAAGCAGCCTTTCGCAAAGTGAAGGCTTGAACCCTAAACCCTAAACCCTAAATCCCTAAAAGCAGCCTTTCGCAAAGTGCAGGCTTGTGTGCACGACAGCTGCTTTGGGCTGCCTCGTGTGGACTGCTGAATTGATTTCCGCACAAAGGCCCGCCATCGGAGGCTCCCCTTTCGGCTCTATATGAGGGTTTCCAAAAATAGGGGATCCTACTATAGCACCCTAAATAATAGGATCCTTATTATAAGGACCCCAAAATAAGGTACCCCTAATTTTCGGAAACTCCCATATGAGATCACCGTAGCAACTCTCGAGGCCTTTCTGGAGTTCTTGTGTTTAGGGTTCAAGACTCTTCAACTGTGAGTTGTCTTCGGGGTCTGGGGAAGGGACTGACACGTGAAATGAAGGCACGCTCTTGGCGCAGGGCATGAAATCCTTGACGGGGAAGCCTGACTGCGGACCTTGGGCAGCGTGTCTCCTGTATGGAACTGTTAAACAGTGCCTCAACATGCGCCATGCAAGCCAGCACGGGCTCGTCTGGCTGAACCATCGCAAGGCGCGGCGCAGCCACAGAATATCTAGCCTAATCTGGGTTCTGGAGTACCCAACAATGCACGCCTTTTTCTGCTAGGAGAGACTCTGTCTCTATCTATCTATGTATATATATATATATATATAAGTTATGTAAGAAGATTTGATTTCGGCAAACCGCCCCCAAGAATAGGACAAGGGTTCGCACTCCAGAATCCCAGCAGTGTCAACCCCAGAATTGATGGAAGCCCGCATGTGAGTGGCCACAGGTGCTGTTACAGCCCCCGGGAGCCTGAAGCACGGAGCCCCGAGCTCTTTTGGTATTTAGGACCTCCGTTCACGCTAGGTCACCATGATCCATGTACACGCGGGACATTAGCACTGAGAGACGATGGGCTCTTAGGATTTTACGGGCACTTTCATTCCAGGCCTCACCTCGACACCTGGTGCGGAATGATATAACAATGACAGCAGAACAGAACATGAGAATGATGTATCCTAGTGCAAGAAACAATGGAACTAGCCACTAGTACTGGTCCCACAACAACTGCTACCCTGCTGCTCATCCTTTCTCTGAAACAAGCATTAAACGAATTGCTGTCCCCAGAGTACTGTACCTTTGAGACCTGCTCGGCAACCCCGGAGTACTTGATCTGCGGTCCATCATAGGGTGAAGTCGAACACGCGGTGTGCACCTTAGCCACCGTGTGTCCCAGCCTCGCGGATGCAGCGAGAGATCTGATCCCAGCCCATGTGTGCAGATGTACAAAGCCCTAAAACCCTAAAGCTCCAAAGCCCTAGAGCCACAAAGCCCTAAACCGCATAAAACCCTAAACCTCTAAACCCACAATACAAGTTTCAGCTCAAGCCGGACTTCCCCCTGAACCCCAAAGCCAGCTCAGAAGCCCCTAATGGGACCCCCAAAAGAGCACGTAAGCAAAAACTAGGATAGGGATATCCCATATAAACCCCCTTATACTGAAGCCCAATAAGGTCGGGATATCCCTATACAAAGCTTATGCTTATGTCCTTTTTGGGGTCCTAACCCAAAGCCCTTTCGCAACCGAAACCTGGTGACTGCCATCGCCCGTCACCCCCCCTCGCAAGGCCGAGAACTGCAGCCCACGATTTAAGGTTTAGGGTTTAGGGTTTAGGATTTAGGGTTAGGGCCACTGCCGGGTACCCCTGAAGATGACGACTCCAGCTCCAAAGCCCTCACCCTAAACCCCAAAGCCCGAACCTCGAAGCAAAAAACGGCCTAAACCCACTACGTCAACACAACCCTAAACCCTAAACCCTAAACCTTAAACCCTAAACCCTAAACCCTAAACCGAGCAAAAAAACAACTAGCAACCTGCACTTCAGGGATTTACACCGGAGCACCCGAAACCCTGCTGTAGGGACCGCTATGGTTAGAAGAGGGTGCTGGGGTGCATTAAAATGGAAGTATAGAAGGGAAACAGCGGCATGCTGAAACTCACTCTTCCGACCTCCATAATACAGCCTAAACCCCCCGTAGTGAAGCCCTTCTCGAAACTTTACCTCAAACCGCCCGTATGGTAACCCAAAAGAGAGTCCATAAAGGCAGAGCCATGTTTCCGGCTGCTAGATTAGAACCCGTGTAGATCCCGTGAACCACCCTTTAGCGGAATCCGGCAAGAGCCTCACGTTTAGGGTTTAGGGTTTAGGGTTTAGGATTTAGGGTTTAGGGTTTAGGGTTTAAGGTGAGAGAAACCTTATACTGTCTGCTGAGGTCCGAAAGAATCGCATAGAACCCTTAAATAATGGAACCCGGCTCTGCTCGTGAAGGGCCCTGAACCCCAAACCATAAACCCCGGAACCTTGAACCCTAAATCCTAAACCCTAAACCCTTTAAAGCCCTGAACCCTAGATCCTAAAACCCCAAGCCCCAAAGCCTGAACCCAAAGCTTCCTGAACCCTAAACCCTCGTTAACTTAACTTTCCCCCTGCCCTAAACCCTAAACCCTAAACCTTAAACCCTAAACCCTAAACCCTAAACCCCTAAAGACCCCTGGGGATCGCAGGTGGGCCGGGCGGAGCAAGACGTCAGCAGCTCAGCTCTGGGCGGGAAGGGAAAAGTTGCGCTTTTTGCTTTGCGGCTTTGGGCGCCCCGGAATTTGGAAGGGTTTAGGGTTTGGGGTTTAGGGCTTTGGGTTTAGCTTGGGGCTTTAAGTTCTGGGTTCCTCCAAGCTGAAGGAAATATAGGGGCCTTCAGGATTAGCACCTGGCTTTTAGGGTATTCTGCACTATCCCTAAACCCCTTAACGCTTTAAACCCAAATACCTAAACCCGACCCTAAACCCCTGAACGCTTTAAAACCAAAGACCTAAACCCAACCCTAAACCCCCTAAATCCAACCCTAGACCCTTTTTTGCATCCAGGCCCGTTGCGGCTGCCGGGCAACCCGGACCATTAAACCGCAAGCCCTAAATCCACACTCACCCTCAACAAGGGTGTGGGGTTGAGGGGTTTAGGGTTGAGGGCAGTTCTGAACCCTCAACCCTAAACCCTTAACCTTCAACAACCCTTTTTGCATCAGGGCTTGTGCAATCGCCTGCAATGTCTGAGCACACAGACCACAATCCTGAAGCCTAAACCCTAACTTCGCCTCAACAGTCCTGAACCAACTCAACCCTAAACCCTGAACCCTAAACCCTAAACCCTTTTTGCAGCAGGCTTCTCTCGCCCGGAAACCCTAAACCCTAAACCCTAAACCCTAAACCCTCAACCCTAAACCCTAAACCCTCAACCCTAAACCCTCAACCCTAGAAGGATCGTGCCCCCCCATCTTTCCGGAAGCTCACGGCTTCCAGAACACTCCGGAAGCCAGAGCCGTCTCGAAGCACAAAGCCCACGTGCGGAGTTTAGGGTCCGGGCACGACGCAGGTTTAGGGTTTAGGGTTTAGGGTTTAGGGTTAGGGTTTAGGGTTTGGGGTTTAGGGTTTGGGGTTTAGGGTCTATACCTATTATGGCTGTTACTTGCTGTGAAGGCTTTTAGTATTCGGTTTAGGGTTCGGTACACTTCTCGACTGGTGGGTTTAGGGTTTTAGGGTTTGGGGTTTGTGATTTCAGGCTTGGGGTTTGGGATTCAAGCTTTTTTGACACTCACACTTGGCAAGGTCTGCAGCGATACTGGTCCAACGACCTACTCAGATCAAACTTGGCGCGTATCACCATGTACAACAAGTAAGGACAATTTGGCTGTCAGGCAGGGCTAGTGATGAAACAACAACAAGTGCACAGCATACAAAGAAGCCCATGTGACAGCAAACGCTTAATACCCGAAAGACCCAAGACCTAGTTTCGTTTTGTGGAGGACTTGTGAAGCAAGGGCCCTTTCTGGCACTCCAAGTTTGTAGTTCACTTACTTCATGCTTGCATTCTTTACATGCCATGCACTCACTCACCAGACACTTTGTGGGGGTCTTCGCATGCATCCGGCAGAAAACGCATCAACCTCTAGACTCCCGCATGTTTCAAACTGTGTCCCATGCATAGACCAACCAAGGCAGTGTATTATGCAGCTTGCACCATAGACTCAGTAGCTCCAGGTTATGTAGACCATGCAGTACAGTTTTGTGCAAAGCAGACAGGAGACCTCGCACAGCATCTTTCCTGCCTCTCTCCAGAACGGGCTTGTATCATGCAATGCACGCATTGAATACCGGGGTTTAGCTCAGAGTCCTGCTCGAGAACGCTTTCTCGGGCCGTTAAAGCTTTTTGGGCTTAGGGTTTAGGGTTTAGGGTTTAGGGTTAGGGTTCAGGGCTTCGCATCCAAATCCTTGGCCGTTTAGACCCTAAACTCCTAAAAGCCCACGGTCGACATCCGCCGCCCCTGGTCTGTTGCCGTCTCCTCGACTTTCCTTGGTTCTTCTTAAGGAACTACATTCAAGCTACCACCCCCTAAACTAAACCCTAAACCCCACAGCTAAACCTCCACACCTAACCCCAAACCCTTAACCATAATCAGGATGCAACGGGATCTGCATGAGCTTCCTAAGACCTGCAGCATGTTGGCGAACACAGCTCATATCAGCAGAAAGGTCTTAAACACACATTTTTAGCACTCGCGCTCGACGAGCTCAGCAAAGAAAACGTCCAAGACTCGTCACGAGCCAGGTTAAACACACATACATACATACACAGGCACGCGTGCATCCTTACGTACGAACGTATGCATTAATGTGTTTACGTACATATCGGCCGCCCATGCATGCACGTGCCTGTTTAGTCTGTCTTATCTTACCTGTTGACAGTAAGCAGTATGCTCTTACACGAATACAAAAGATGGAACAAGTTCCTTCAACAAGAACCCAGTTTCTCCAGGGCCGGAGCAGTCACCGAGGAACGGGGCGGGGAAGCCACCTCGCAAAAATGTGCCGCAGGCTTCAGACCCAGAGAATCCAACAACTCTGCACTAGCGAAATTATTTGCCCGTTACAAACAAGAGCGATCCGTAGTGTGATCGAAGGTGCGGTCTTGAATTCAGGAGGTTGAGGCCTCTGGCCGGGTAGCGTGTGGATTTTAAGGCTCAGGGCCCGCGTAGCAGGGGCGATGCCCGCATCGCACCGTCGCACATGAACTTTAGAAAAGTTGAATAAGGACGCAGGCTTTGGGGCCTGAGTCGACGGTGCAAGGGTTTTGTTTCGGTTGTTTGATGAAGTCCTTCTTCTTCCTGTGAAGTTTAACATTCAGGGTCCAAGTCTGAGGAAAAAAAAGCTTGAGATATCATTGCCTTTGAAGTTGAAATGCCTTCGAAGGGCTGCCTATGTCAGCTGCAGCTCTTCAACATGCGTTCGCATTTTTCTGCTGATTGCGTGGGATTGTTAGGGTTCTGGAAAAGTCAGATGGCCTGACCGGGGGTCGTGGAAGCTGCGCATAGCATAGACCTTGAGCTTCAATTTGGGCCTCCTTCAAACCCTCAAGCATACACCTCTATCTGGCTGGTGCGGCGGGGGTTCAAGTTCAAAGGATCCCTTAAAGGAAGCCTTTACAAAACCCTTAAGGGAAGCCATTGAAAAAACAAAAAAACCCTCCAAGAAGCACCAAAGCTTGGCATCCGCACCTCGCGCTCATATCGTTGTACTTGCTCCGACCTCAGCTCGAAACCACACACCGCAACTCGCTGTCGAGGTCAGAGAGCCAGGATAATAGATTTTAGGGTTTAGGGGTTTAGGGTTTAGGGTTTAGGGTTTAGGGTTTAGGGTTTACGAATCTCCCTGCTGCTATCCTTCTCGCAAGTAATTAAGTATAGTAGCAGCGGCAAGCCGTGGTCGCAGCGTAAGTGGTCGCAGTGTCGTAGTAGCGATAGTGGCAGAGGTAAGGATAACAACAGTAGCAGCAACAGTAGCAGCGGCAGTAGCAGCAGCAGTCGCATCAGCAGCAGTAATAGCGTTGTCGCGATAATTGTAGCACAAGCTTATCTCCTTGTGTATGCTACTCCAGAACAACACTGAAACTAACCCCAAACTGCAAGGTCCTAACACCTTGAAGCACCAAATCCTGCCCACTGGACTACGATCTCTCTCTGTCAAAAGGGCGCAAGAACCTGGACTGGAACCAAGGCACCGGTCGATCACCACCTCGTCACAGACGGGGAGGACGTGCTCGCGGAAGAATCGACGCTGGCGCTTGGCATAGCTGTTAGGGTCCGTGACGCTCGCCTAGGATTCAAGCTGCGAAGGGTTCCGAGTGCAGGGGTCGTGGAATAGGGCCTAAGGTTGCAGGCCGAACCACAAATCCCAGGTCCCTTCACCTAGGGAATACTACCGGAATTCCATCCAGTGATCCCCTTGGTGCAGGCAAGAAACCACCAGCGAACTTTACGTGATAGAATCGATGTTCATGTTCCTGCACCCTAAGCCCACACACCAAACAACAGCAACCCCCAAACCCAAACCCCTTTTGCGGCCTTATAGAAACATGTCTATAAACCTTACAGAACTCCTTGTGCATCAAGCTTGTGCAATCCTCTGAAGATCTGAGCACGCCACGGTTTAGCTCTCATCCCCGCACTTCCACGCCCCAAACACTTATTGCATCCAGGCCTCAAGCACCGAACCCGAACACCCTAAACCCTAAACC